AAGAGTGATAGTAAATGGGACATCCTGGCAGCCACCTTTACTCCAAGCTAGAATCCTAAGGCCCATCCTTGGTCCTCCCTTACGTGGTCTGTGCCATGAAGTCATCATATAGACAGCGTTGTCGCTTGGAGAGCCGGCAGCGGATGACATGCTCATACTTTTTAGGCATCTGCTTCTCAACATCCACCTTTACTCGACGTAGCAAAAAAGGACGCAAAACCTAAAAGCAAATAAAACACGAGACTGACAGAAGAATGGCAGGGGGATCAGCAGTTAGCGTAATGGCTATGTCGCTGGACTCCCATGTAGCCGACCACGGTTCGAGTCCCAGACAAAGTGGCCAAGATCCCAAGAGGAAAATGGAGGAAAAGGAATTGTGGTGTGGCCATCCCCCCTGGGGGGTGATTTCTCACTTTCTGTCTCTCTGTCTCTCTCTATTTTTCTGGTGAGCACACGCGCCCTATAGTGAAAACCTCTCCAAAAAAAAAACAAAAAAAAAAAACAGAAGAATGGCAGGCACTGAGCCCTAGCCTAGCTTTTCTACCTCAATCTTGGTCTGATAACCAGCTGAATGCTGACTTAGCCCATAAGCAAATACTCATGGAGTCATGCGGCATGCCAGATACCAACCACAAAATAATGAATCAGATGCAAACCCTTCTCTCAAGGAACTTAACTCTCTGAAGAATGCAAGAAATAAAAACACTGATACCATACCTTACAGGGTGATACAGGAAGTACTGAAGTCATAGAAGACCAGTTAAATACGTAGGAGAGATGACTTAAATTACATTTCAAAGAGTAACTATAAGTTCATAGGATTATAAAAATAAAGGAAGAGAAACCCAGAACAGGCCTTGAAAGCTTAGAAAATAAATGACAAATCTGTAATCTCAGGAGTTAAAAATCTGATAGGACATGATGTCTATAGTGATATGGATGAAGTGATGGGAGACAAATGAAGGAAAAGCAGAAGACAGACTACCCTGTAACTAGCTTGATTTAACAAATAATGCTGTGACTGACCAAAATGGAGTAGAAATTACAAACTATAAAGATCAGAGATATTTGGCTAAAAACAGAATGAGTTCAAGAGAAACTGTCAACTACTCATGTCTGGCCAGATCCCACATGGCCAACATCTCAGTTTGAATCAAGGCACTAGCGACTTGAAAAACACTCTGGGCACATGTATGCACATGCCCCAAATCTCAATAGGGTGAAGAAATAGAGAAGGCATTGGGACCAGCAGGTGGCGTGGTGGTAAGGCGCTGGACACTCCCACACGGCCGACCATGGTTCAAGTCCTGGACCTGGTGGCTTGCTTTCTCACTTTCCCTTTCTCTTTCTCTGTGTCTGTCTCTGATCAAATTAAAGTAAATTAATGAAATTTTTAAAAAATTTAAAAATACGGAGGAAAAGAAATAGAGAAGGCATTGAGAGACATGACCATTGTCAACTGCAAATGCTTTCTCCCTATTCCTCACGGTTAAGTGCATGCAGCACCTAGCAAAATTAATTAATTAAAAAAATAAAATCAAGTAAGAACCTTAAATGTAAGTAGAGCAACCTACAAAGTTAAGGGATTAGGGCTAGCCAGTGGCATGATGGTTAAGATGGCAGGATCCCACTTGACTGATTTCATGATCTTTTTTTTTTTAAGAGGTTTTCGCTATAGGGCACGTGCGCTCGCCAGACAGAGAGACAGAAAGCGAGAAATCATCCCCCAGGGGGTATGACCATGCTGCAATCCCTTCTCCTCTAGGGATCTTGGGCATGCATGCACAAGCGCCCGGCATGAGTTTTAAGCCACTGGGTCTGGGACGCGAACCGCAGTTGACTACATGGGAGTCCAGAAACATAGCCATTATGTTAACTGCTGGTCGCACTGATTTCATAATCTGACTCCTGGACCCAGAGGCTTGAAAAACATACTGGGCACGCATGCACACATGCCCAAAATCATAAAAGGAGAAAGGATTGCAGCATGATCAACCCCCAGGAGGTAATTTCTCACTTTTCTTCCTACTCTCTCTCTCTCCTGTGAGTTAACAAGTCTAATTAAAAAAAAAAAAAAAAAAAAAAGTGAAGGATAGCATACAGCATGCTGATTAGGATACTGGACTCCCACATGGCCAAATAAAGTTTGAATCCTGAATCTGGCAACTTGAAAAACCACACAAGTGCATGTGTGTGTGTGTGTGTGTGTGTGTGTGTGTGTGTTTGTGTGTGTATGCATGCTCCAAAATCTCAAAAGAATGGAGAAGGGACTACAGCATGGCTGTCCTCCCTGGGGAAGTGATTTCTCACTTTCCCTCTCTCTGGGTCTCCCAGTAAGAGCAGGTGCCCTATGGCAAAAATCCTTTAAAAAAAAAAAAGAAAAGAAAAAGAAAAATTGATTAAATTTTAAATGTAAAGGGATTAAAAATACAAATTAGGGACCAACGAATGGCATAATGGTTATGTCACTGGACTCCCACATAGTTGACCATGGCTCGAGTCCTGGACCCAGAAGCTTAAATCTCTTGCCGGGCACACACGCATGTGTGCGTGCCCAAGATCCCGAGAGGAGAACAGAGAAGAGATTGTAGCATGGTCAGCCTGCGGGGTGGTAGGGGACAAAGTGGGCTGGTTTCGTGCTTTCTGTCTATCTCTCTGGCGAGCGCATATGCCCTGTAGCAAAAAAATCTAAATAAAATAAAAATAAAAATAAAAATTAGAGACCATATAACGGTTATGTTGCTGGACTCCCGTAGTTGACATAGTGCGAGCCCTGGACTTGCAGACTTAAACTCAAGTTGAGCTCGGGGAACCAGCAGTTAACGTAATGGCTATGTCGCTGGACTCCCACGTAGTCGACCACGGTTCGCGTCCCGGACTTAGAACTCATGCCGGGCGCGTGTGCGTGCGTGCCCAAGATCCCGAGAGGAGAATGAAGGAGAAGGGATTGCGGCGTGACCATCCCCCCTGGGGGGTAATTTCTCGCTTTCTGTCTCTATGTCTTTGTCTGTCTGGCGAGCGCAAACGCCCTATAGCGAAAACCTCTCCAAAAAAAAACCAAAAAACCTCAAGCTGAGCTTGTGTGTGTGCATGCCCAAAATCCCAAGAAGAAAATGGAGAAGGGATTGTGGCATGACCATCCCCCCAGAAGGTGATTTCTCGCTTTCCATCTCTCTCTCTCTGGCGAGTGCACGCACCCTAAAAAACTCTTTAAAAAAAAGGGGGGGGGGAACCAGCAGTTAGTGTAATGGCTATGTTGCTGGACTCCCATGTAGTCAACCGCAGTTCGTGTCCTGGGCCCGGTGGCTTAAAACTCATGCTGGGCACGTGTGCGTGCATGCCCAAGATCCCGAGAGGAGAATGGAGGAGAAGGGATTGCGGCGTGGCCACTCCCCCTGGGGGGTGATTTCTTTCTGTCTCACCCACAAACACACGTACCCTAGAGCAAAAAGCTCTTAAAAAAAAAAGTGGCTTAAAACTCATGCTGGGCACGTGTGCGTGCATGCCCAAGATCCCGAGAGGAGAATGGAGGAGAAGGGATTGCGGCGTGGCCACTCCCCCTGGGGGGTGATTTCTTTCTGTCTCACCCACAAACACACGTACCCTAGAGCAAAAAGCTCTTAAAAAAAAAAAAAAAAAAGATGGCATAGAGATTAAGGTAGCTGGATCCCACGAGGCCCATTATGCAGTTCAAGTCCCTGACCTGGTAGCTTGAAAAACACTCCAGGCACAGTACATACCCAAATCCTGAAAAAGTAATGGAGAAGAAATTGCAGCCTGGCCAGCCTCCCTGGGGGGGTGGGGGGTGGGGGGATGATTTCTTGCTTTCTCAGTCTCTGATGAGCATATGCACCTTTTTGGTTTTTTGAGAGAAAGTAATTTTTGCTATAGGATGTGTGTGCGCCCGGCATGAGTTTTAAGCTACCAGGTCTGGGACTTGAATCGCAGTTGGTTACATGGGAGTCCAGCACCTTACGCACTACACCACCTGCTGGCCCTGAACACGTGCGCCTTACAGCAAAACAGAACAAAACAAAACAAAAAACTGTAAGGCATTATCACATACGACATAGTCTAAGCCTTACAAATAAATATTCCTGTGAAATAGGTAGACGAATAGGACAAAAAAGAGATCAGGGCTGGTCCCGTGGTGCAAGGATTAGGCACTGAACAGAAAAGGGAATATCCCACGCAGACAACTGGAGTTTGAATCTTGACCCCATGGACTTCACATCAGACTTTGAGAGCATGCCCAGGATCCTTAGAAGATAATTAGAGGAAAAAGGGTGATAGTGTGCCAGCTCCACAGCCTGGTTAAGGGAGTCAGATCCCACATAGCACAACACATGCCAGGTATGTACATGTGTACAACCAAAATCCCAAAAAGGAGGGAGAGATGGAGGAAACGGGACTGCAGTGAGACATTCTGTATAGGGGACGTTTGCTCCTTTCCCTCTCTCTCCAGCGAGCACGTAAGCCCTATAACACAAAAAAGACTGCGGCATGACCATGTCCTCTTGAGGAGTGCTGTTTCCATCTCTCACTTTCTCCCATGTGCACACATATGCACTACCATGAATAAAAATAAAAACTTTTTTTTTTAACAAAACTAAAGATCAGAATACTGAAAGATGTCATTATTAAAAAGCTAGGCAGAGAAAAGGAGCCCAGACAATAAAAGAAAAAACCGGGACCAGCAGGTGGCAAGGTGGTTAAGATGTTGAACACTCCCATATGGCCAACTTGGTTCAAGTCCTGAATCTGCTGGCTTACTTTCTCACTTCCTCTCCCTCCCTCCCTCTCTCTCTCTGGTCAAATTAAAACAAATGAATGAATAAAGTTAAATAATTTAAAAGAGAGAGAGAAAAAGAGAAAATGCATCAAAAATACAAAGGTGAGGGACCAGCAGGTGGTCCAGTGGTTAAGGCACTAGACTCCCACATGGCTGACCATAGTTCGAGTCCCAGACCCAGCAGCTTGAAACTCATGCTGGGACATGTGCGTGTGTGCCCAGAATTCCAAGAGGAAACGGGATGGCAGCGTGGCCATAACCCTAGGGGATGATTTCTTTCTGTCTGTCTCTCGCTGGCCAGTGCATGTGCCCTATCTAAAAGGTGAGAAAAGCCAGGCAAAGAGAAATACAAATAGGGACTGATCATTAGTACCATTCTACTCAAAGAAAACCGAATATATGAACATCACCATTAAAGAAAACAAGGACTAAAATTAAGTCACTCAATTTGGCAACCAGTTTGACAACTGGGTTAATTCAGTCCAGTGCCAAATTCCTTCTCCTCAAAAGTTTTCTAGGTATTAGTCTTAGTTTCTCACTATTTCTGTTATCCCTGACAAACTAATGTAAGCCCTACCTTGTGGAGGCGTTTGACCAGACCTTCATTATACTCTTGGCTGCCTTCAATCATGCCAGTTAGGGGATTAGAAAACCATTCCTTGAACTCGCGATGAGACTGGAAGACGTGGGGCATCAAAAAGTGCATCAAGGACCACAGCTCCATAAGACTATTCTGCAAGGGAGTTCCGGTCAGGAGTAGGCGCCTTTGGCTGCAGAGAGACAAAGAGAATCAGAGGGAAAGTGGTCAGCAAGGTCCCAATTTTCTGAGCATCCTTGATGCTACTCCTCAACCCAGGCAGGCCACCCTTTAGGACAAGCAATGACTTCCACATATCTTTATCCATCTCTACCTATTGAAGTTGAGCAGTGACTGCCAGCGCTGTGACTTGAAGTTCTTGATGTTCTGAGCTTCATCCAGAATTAGATAGCGCCAGTTTTTGCGGCGGAAGGCCTGATGGTCCTGCAGCACCAGCTTGTAAGATGTGATACATACATGGAAAGCATTGGGCTTGGTCCAGCCCTGAAGTATCAAAGAGAGAAAGTAGCAGATAATGGGGTATCAAGTAAAGAGGACAAAGGGTAGATATGCTAAGAAGGTACAAAACTTAGGTTGGAAGAAAATTTCTCACAGCAAAATGAAGCAAAACAAAGAGGAAAGAAAGGAACTGATCTGAGGAAAAGGTCTAAAAAAATAAAGGCAGCATTAATAGGTAAGAAAGTGACTATATACAGAGGATCGAACCTGCCGTTTGAGCTTCCTCTCTTTCTGGGCTCCATAGTAAGTGAGAATTTTAAAGCTGGGACACCAACGTTTCAATTCCATCTCCCAGTTCAACATCACACTGGTGGGAACAATGATTAAATGGGGACCCCAGTTACCTGTTTAGCAAAACAATGAAAGACTATTAGGAAATGTAAACTTTGTGGTTCTGGTTCCTTATATGTAACCCTGACTACTCTGTCCTTCTTTCTTTTAGATTTTTGCCATAGAACATGTACACTCACAGAGAAAGAGACAAATAGAGACACAGAGAGAGAAAAAGTGAGAAATCACCCCTGGGGGGACACCCATGTTGGCACTACCCTCTCCTCCAAGGTCTCCTCAGGACCTCAGGTGTGCATGCATGCACACACGGGCACACACATCCAGCATGTACTTCAAGCTGCCAATCCAGGACTTAGCAGCAGAATTGGTCATGTGGGATCCAGCACCTTAACCATCATGCCACCTATGGGCCCCACTCTGTCCTTCTAATGGCTCCTTCCTGTTAATCCTAGCACCTGTGCTGTCTTGTCTATATCATTATTGAACAAAGCCAATAAATTTACCACCGTGGCAATAAACTAGCAAGCAAATATTTCACCTTCCTACAGCTGCAGATACCACTAAACAGGCTCTTCCAGTTGGTTAGAAGGGCCCTTTCTAGTTACCTTTCTCACAGGCCAAGTGGGCAAGCAGGGAGATGGTCTGGATTGTCTTTCCCAGCCCCATCTCATCAGCAAGAATGCCATTAAGCTTCTTCTCATACATAGTAACCAGCCAGTCCAGACCAATGTGTTGGTACTCCCGGAGCTGGCCACGCAGAAGCAGGGGAATGGGCGTCTTCACCTACCAGGGAAGAAAATGAGGTAATGCAATAGAACTGAGGCATCTGTCACTGGGAAACAGGAAAATCAAGGTAAGAGTAAGTAGACACTGGGACTTTGGGATACCTGGGTAGTGGCCAAGGTGTAACCCTTGGGCTGGAGACTTTCAGCTGCTGCAGCAATGTCAGTAATTTCTTTCTTAGGGCCTAGAGTGGTGGTGGGCCCTGGAGTGGGAGGCCCACTACCCCCATCTGCCTCACTCTGCTCTTCATCCCGGGCAAGTAAGTACTCCACCCCAAAATCATCATCTTCCTCCTCTTCATCTGTTTGGCTCTGTGACTGGGAATCCTCAGACTCCTCAGATTCAGATTCCTCTGATTCTGAACTCCCACTTGTTTCTTCCTCCTCTGTGTGCTCATCTTCTTCATCCTCACTCTGCTCCTCAGCAGAGTCTAAAACACAAAACCAAGGCTGAGTACTCACCATATTTGCCTCTCCAATGCCTGCCCTCCTCAGCTCCTGCATCATGACCACACATTCACCTGACTGACTGCTACTATCCTCCTGAGGAGCCCCTTCGGTTTCTATGGGCCCCTCTGCTTCACAATCAGAGCTGTTAGCCTCAACCTCATCATCTTCTTCTTCCTCTTCCTCTTCGTCTTCACTGCTCCCAGATCCTGGGGCAGAGGCATCAGAAGCATAGGCTCCTGCATATCGCTGCAGAAGCTCCTCCATAGATAGCTCACCTATAGGACAAATGAAGAGTAATAAGCTTGTTACTTTAAGGGAAGTGATCTGAGTGTTACCACTTCATTTTACTTAGGGCTCTATAGACACCGACAGGCCCAGGTCCCATGGAAGGCAAAGGAATTTACTTTTATCACCCAGCTACCCAAGTCTACAAACCTGGGCTAGAACCACAGGAGGTGCTGTTCCTCCTAGAAAGAACATTATCAACCTTGTGAACTTCCTCTTCAAGGTTCAGGTCAAATAGCAGCAGTATCTCTTTATAGTCAATTTTCTTCCTCATATTAGTATACCTTATTAAAACTTATAAGCAATCATTACTTGTTACTTATGTGCGTGTGTATATTTTTCCCCCTACTGAATTATTTTTGCAACAAGGTGTGTGCATTTGCCACAGACACAGAGACAGAAGGTAAGAAAACACTCCTGGGTGAAGTGACCACACCACAATCCCTCCTCTTCCATTCTCCACTTAGGATTTCTGGAGCACACACACGCAACCAGCCTGAGTTTCAAGCCGCCACACTCAGGACTCGAACTGCGGTTGGCCACATGGGAATCTAGTACCTTAAGCACTTCAACACAGGCTAGCCCTTATAATTACCTGTTTTAAGTCTTTGTTACTTATTACTTATAATTATTTTTTAAGTCTTTGCCATTACACCTGAAGTTCCTCTAGTACATTTATTTTGTTTTCCTCTGGCATTCTACAAATAGTAGTCACCAAATGAACACTCATCAACATGTCTAGAGAATGTCACCTTCTCGAGCCAACTCGCTAAGCTCCATGGCATGATCCACCTCCCCTTCCAACTGTTCCTCAGCTGCTATGGTGTCCTCTTCATCCTCCGCTAGGAAACAAAATTAAATAGGATCAATGCAGATAATAGTCACAAGACACAGTCCAAGTGCAGGAGGTTAGAGAGTCTTTAAAGGGGTAAGGGAAAACAGAATAAAGAGAACAGGTGGGACCAGCAGATGGCATAATGGCTACATCACTGGACTCCCATGTATTCAACTGCGGTTCAAGTCCCAGACCCAGTGGTTTAAATTCATGCCAGGCATGAGCGCGTGCCCAAGATCCCGAGAGGAAAATGGAAGAGAAGGGATTGTGGCGTGGCCATCCCCCCTGGGGGGTGATTTCTCGCTTTCTGTCTCCCTGTCTCTCTCTAGCAAGTGCACATGCCCTATAACAAAAACTTTTCAAAAAAAAAAAAAGAATAAAGAGTAACAGGCCTGACCTTCATCCTCATTGGCAGTAAACTCTTCATCGTCTTCATCTGGATGCCAAGGCTGTTTGTTGCGCTGTGTGACAGAAGGTGAGGGCTTCACCTGTTTGACAAAGGATGTAAAGGGAAGCAGCTAGGGTTAGAGTGGCAGGAGAAAAGAGCCAGGTTGAATAAAATGTCACAGAACTGACTCTGTCCCAATGAGTGACAACTGCTTCTGGTACAATCCCATGGCAAGGATGTGATCAAGGATTTTCTCTCAGCACCAGTTACCAAACCCTGGCCCCACTGCCTAGAGGAGGACCTATGAGTGTGCCAGGTAAGAATGAAAGGCCTGGCAAGCTGTTGTCATGATAAAGTGGCTAGATCCCACATGGCTGACTATGTGGTTCCAATCTCAGACCAGGAAGCTTGAAAAACACTGGGGAGCCGTGTGCTTGCCTGCCCAAAATCCTCAGAGGAGAATGGAGGAGAAAAGACTACAACTACGGCCATCACTCCAGGGGTGCTTTCTCACTGTCCCTCTCTCTCTCTCGCTGGCAAATGCACACGTCCTATAGCAAACAAATAAAATTACTAAAGGCCCCCAACACCATCTATACACTCAGACATGTGGAGAAACAGAGCACGTAGGTCCAGAAAACACTTCGAGGTTACCATGCCAGCTTACAACCCTCAAGCCAACAACTTGGGTCATTTCGCAGAAGTGTCAACTAAGAGCCAAAGCAAGTACTTTTTTTTAAGATCATACAGTTAAGAATAAAGTACAGAGACCAACAGCTAGCTGGACTCCCATGTAGTCGACCGCAGTTCGCGTCCTGGACCCGGTAACTTAAAACTCACGCCGGGCACGTGTGTATGTGTGCCCAAGATCCCAAGAGGAGAATGGAGGAGAAGGGACTGTGGTGTGGCCATCCCCCCTGGGGGGTAATTTCTCGCTTTCTGTCTGTCTGTCTGTCTCTGTCTGTCTGGCGAGCACAAGCGCCCTATGGCAAAAACCTCTAAGAAAAAAAAAAAAAAAGATCTTCATACACTTCTCCTCTTTCACCATAGCATCAGAAATTGCCAATCCCAGGCTATAACTGCCCTAAGCCCAGATACTTCCCCAGCCATTCTCAAATGAGCCAAACAGTTCTTAACCAGAGAAGATTCCTGAAAGCAACAACTGCTGTCATAGCTCAGAACTAAAACACTGAACCTTCTCCCTCTACTATTCTGAATCCTCCCTCTACCCCTTCTGCCTATACCTCCAACACCCGAGAGGGCTCTTCTTCGCCACCTTCTTCAGGACCATCTTGGGTGTCACTATCATGAGATGAAGGTGTTTGAGAGGGACTGGAAGGCCCTCCCAGCAGCTGAGGGGGGAGGGAACGGAGCAGCTCTTCCAGTGGCAGTTCTCCCTCACGTCGAAGCAGCTCAATCTCACGCCTCTGGGTCTCTGCATCATTGCCTTCCTGTTGTTCTTCAACCTCAATCGTCTCCTCATCATCTTCCTCCTCCTCTTGGGGCTGGAAGTCCCCATCTATAGCAGGAGAATAAGGTCACAAAGTCCACGGGCCCTGCAAGCCACAGGGTGAGTTTTTCAGCTCTGGAAAGGGTAAATGGGGAAGAGAAACAGTGCCAAAGAGAACACACACCTTCATCATCTAGCCGGGAGGCAGGGGGTGGAGGACTGGAGGCAGCTGAGGAAGAGCCAAGACAAGGGGAAGAGCCAGCTTTGCTGGAAGTTAGTGGCTGGTTGAGACTCTGAGACAGAAGGTCTGAATACTTTTCAGTCTGCCCCACAATGAAGTCCAGATGCAAGTCCAGGGCTTTTTTGCGTTTTTCCTCAAGCCGAGACTGCTGCTTGAATTGCACCACCTGCCACAATCATAAATAGAACTAGTCAATGATAACCATTTTTTTAATGTACTTTTCCACCAATGTTTAGGAAGGCAAGGTCCTGAGCTGGCCTTCCAGGAGGAAGCTAAATAATCTTAAAAGACACATGATTTAATACGGGGGGTTTCTGAAAAAAAAAAAAAAAAAAAAAAAAACCACAAAGGGGGATAGGGAGAGAAGAACCAGTTGTCAGGTGGCTGGGAAAGATTTGCAAATACACCTGAAGCCAGATCTTAAAAAATAAGCATGTGGGGGCAAGCAGGTGGTGTAGTGGTTAAGGCACTGAATTTCCATGTGGCCAACCACAGAGAGTCCCGAACCCAGCAGCTTGAGACTCACACCAGGTGCGTGTGCATGCATGCATGCATGCACAAAATCCAAAGAGGAGAATGGAGACAGGACTGAGGCATAGCCGTTTCCCCCAGAGAGGTAATTTCTCATTTTCCCTCTGTCTCTTCAGTGTCTTGTGGCAAAAAAAATAATAAAACAAACGAACTAACAAAAAAGCCCCACAAATGATGAGACATTCTCAGCACCATAAAGAGCACATGTAAATGGCCAGAAATGTGCAAAAAAAGATGTACTTGAGGTAGAAGGAAGAAAAAAAAAGAAACTGCCAGGAAACAGGACTGAAAATGTAAAGAGAACCCAGGGAACACTTGAGAAATAATTACAACTCAATATACAGGCAATAGGGATGTTGACAGTATTTGAGCAGACACAAGGCACAAACAGGTTTTAGAAAAAGCTTGCCAAGGGGCCGGCAGGTGGTGTGGTGGTGAAGGGCGCTGGACTCCCAAACGGCTGACTAAGGTTTGAGTCCTGGACCTGGTGGCTTGCTTTCACGCTCCCTCCCCCCTCCTCTCTCTCTCTCTCTATCCCTCTCTGGTCAAATTAAAATAATAAAGTTAAATAAAATAATTCTTAAAAAAGGCAAAGAAAAAGCTTGCCAAATGCCTTGTAAAGGACAGATATCCTAGAGGGGTCAAGAACTCCTGTTAATAATCCCCAAAGGCAGGTCCCATATTTGGTATCTATACTTTCTTCTTCACACCACTGAATACTACAAAAGTCCACTGCACGGCATAAATGTCATTAGCTGCTTAAAATTATTTTAGATTTATTTAACTGCATTTATATATATTTATTCTTAGTTTGCTATCGGGCCCATATGCTCACCAAAGACAGAGAAAGAGAGAGAGGGAAGTGAGAAAGCAAGCCACCAGGTCCAGGACTCAACAGCAGGCAGCCATCTGGGAATCCAGCCACCATGCATGCCACCTGCTGGGCTCAGCTGTTTCAAATTACAATATTCACTCCTTCAGGTAGACGTTTTAATAATGCTTACTACTATGCCACAAACCTAACCCAAGGCCATTTCCCACTCCCAATCCCTGTTGCCTACCTTTTCCACATTACTCCAGAACTGCCTGACATCTTTAGCCATGGTAGAAGCAATTCGACGCAGCTTAGCTTGTTCCTCCCTCCTGGCTCGTTCCTCTTTTTGACGCTGCTCCTCATGGTGCCGAATCACCATGCGCACCACCTATGGGAATTAGGGCCCAACATGAAAATACTCAAAACTATGTCTTCCCACTCATCTAACCATAGGGAGAAAAAAAAAGCTGAAGGATTGACTTTTGACTGTAGGAATCATAAAAGACTTGACACCACCTGGTTTGGTTCTCCTCCAAATAACCTACCCATCAATGAATATACTCTTGGAAAGGAAATGGAAGGCAGACCCAATTGAGAACATACCTTACGGGCCACACCCCGTTTCCAACGTCGCTCCTGAGCAAAGTCAGCAGAGAGCCACTGCATCTCTTCACAAAGATAGTCCCAATGGCCTTTGGGGCGTGGGGGTTCTGGCACTTTAGGCAGCCTCTTCAGTGACCAGAAACCCTCCTTCCGCAACTCAGCAATTCGAGTCTCAATCTCGGCTTCCTAAGAGCAAACTAGGTTAAGCGACAATTTCTGAACAATCTCTATTTCACTGCTATGGCTAAATTCCTAAAAACTGACTAGGCTATATTTCATGATGATGTGTAGTCCACATACTGATCCTACAAGTAGGTATTATGCCCTTCTCAGATAAGAAAAAAACCCAAAGAGATTACGTGATTTGCCTAAGAACACACAGGTAGGAAGTAGTAAGAGCTGAGAATAAAAAAACAGATCCATAGAGGGTCAGCCAGGTAGTGTGGTAATTAAGGCACCTGGATCCCCACACTGCCAACTGTGCAGTCTGAATCCCAGACCTGGCAGCTTGAGAAATGTACTGGGCACCTGTGGATGCATGCCCAAAATTCCAAGAAATCCAGCAGGTATTCTGGAGGTTAAGGAAGCTGGATCCCACATGACCGACTGAGCAGATGGAGGGCTGGACCTGGTGGCTTGAAATCACATCAAGAACTTGTACAAACTTGCCCAAAGTCCTGACGAGTATGGAAAAGAAGGGACTGTAGCGTGACCATCCCCCAGAGGTGATTTCACACTTTTTCTCTCTCCCTATATCTCTTTGGTCAGTGCATACACCTAACAGCAAACTACCAAAAAAACAAACTGAACAACAAAAAAACTCCCAAGAGGAGAATGGAGAAGGGACTACACTGTGGTCATTTTGCCTGGAGGCGTACTTTGTCATTGTCTTGCAAGCATATAAACCCTATAGCAAACATGAAAAATAAATTTCAGACAGACCTATAGAGAGCCAGCCCTGTGGCCTAGTGGTTGAGGGAGCCTGATGTTACATAGCCAACCATGGTTCAAATCCTGGTCCAGACAGTCTAAACAACATGCCAGACACATGTGTGCACCCAGAATCCCAACAAGGTGGAAAGATGGGAAAAAAAAACAGATTGTGGGATGGCCGTGTCCCATTGAAAAAGGGCTTTCTCCTTCTCCTTTCTATCTGTCTGACATGTATATACACCCTCTAGCAATTAAAAAAAAAAAAAAAGACAAGACATTTGAGGCCAGCAGATGACATAGTGGTTAAGGTGTTGAACTTCCACTTGGCTGACCCCAGGTTTAGCCCTGGACATGGCAGCTTGGTTTCTCATTCTCTCTCTCTCTCTCTCTCTGGTGAGTGCATGTGTCCTGTAGCAAATGAAATAATAATAAGTAATTCTAAAAAAAAATAAAAAAGACATTTGTTCTCCAGACACAGGATTTCAGACTTTTTTCATTATTTCACACAGTCCCATAAGCAAGAGTTGGGAAAATGCCCCAAGTGGAGTTTCCGAGAGAAGCTGGGAGCACAACTTCCTGCCTTCAGATACAAGAGTTCTTCATCACCACAGAATTGTACTTACTCAAAGCATACTCATGCTGCATTAACCTTCCAAGTAGGATACAAAGTCCAATTTACACAATCCTGTTTTATAAAAAAGACTATTTTTGGGGCCAGTGGGTGGCATGCTGGTTGGGGCACTGGACTCCCATATTACCAACCACTGTTCGAGTCTTGGACCTGGCGGTTTTTCTTTTTTTTTGAGAGGCTTTTGCTATAGGGCGCATGCACCGACCAGAAGACAGAAAGAGACAGAAAGTGAGAAATCACTCCCCAGGGGGTATGGCCACGCCACAGTCCCTTCTCCTCTTGGGATCTTGGGCACGCACGCACACGCACCCGGCATGAGTTTTAAGCCATCGGGTCTGGGATGTGAACCACGGTTGACTACATGAGAGTCCAGCAACATAGCCATTACGCTAACTGCTGGTCCCTCTGGTGGTTTACTTTCTCTCTGCCCCCCTTCTGGTGAGTGGACACACCCTACAGGAGATTTAAAAATAATAATAATGATAAATAAAATTAAATAAATAATTCTGAAGAAAGTTATCTTAATAAAAGACTACTCTGTGTGACAGCTTAGTGGCACAGCAGTAATTTGCTGCTCAGACAAAGCTGAAACCATACAGGAGATCATGGTCTTGTTCCCCAGAGGACTGTAGATGCCAGGTATGTGTACCCATGATTCTACTAGCAGGAGTTGAAGATCATGGTGTGAGAAGCAATTGGGTGTGTTCGTCTATCTTTGTAAAAGAAAAAAATTTTAAAAAAAAATGTTATCTGTGGATCAGTCAAATGGTGCAGTGTTTAAATAAACTCTGTGCAAAGTGAGCTAGATCCCACATGGCCAATCACTGTTCATATCCCAGACCCAGTGACTTGAGGAACACTCTGGACACGTGTATGCCCAGAGTCACAACAAGTAGATAGATGAAAAGGAAATTTTAGTGTGTCCATGTCCTATCTTGTGAGTGCTTTCTCCCTCTCTGGCAAGCACACATGCCTTCTAAAAAAATTAAAAGTAATGAGACCAGCAGTTAGCATAATGGCTATATTGCTGGACTCCCATGTAGTCGACAGCGGTTCAAGTCCTGGACCCGGTGGCTGAAACTCACGCTGGGTGCGGGTGTGTGCTTGCCCAAGATCCCGAGAGGAGAATGGAGGAGCAAGGATTGCGGCGTGGCCAACCCCCCGGGAGGTGATTTCTCACTTTCTGTCTCTCGCTCTATCTCTCTGTCGTTCTGGTGAGCGCACGCGCCCTATAGCAAAAACCTCTCCAAAAAAAAAAAAGAATAAAAAAAAAATTAAAAGTAAATTAAAAACACCAAGTGCACTGGTGTGCGCCCAAAATCCTAACAGCATGAAGAAATGGAAGAGAAAGAATAGTGGTGTAAACACGCATCATTGAAAATGTGCTTTCTTCCTCTCCCTCCCTCTCTCTCTGGTGAGCACATGCACCTTCTAGCAATTGAAAAAAGAAAACATAAAACTATTTGAACAATTTTTTTTAAAACTCACCGGAGACAGAGAGACCATAATGGAAGATAAAGTGAGATCACTGCCCTGAGAAGAGATGGCCACGTCACAATCCCTTCTCCTCCATCCTCCTTTTGGGATTTTAGCATGCACACTCACACACCTGGCTTGATTCTAAAGCTATCAGGTCCAGAACTTGAACTACCCAGTTGGCCATGTGGGATCCAGTGCCTTAACCTCTAGGCTACCTGCTAGCCCCCCCAATATTTTTAAACATAAGTGACTTAAAATTAAGGACATGGGACCAGCAGGTGGTGCGGTGAAGGCACTGGACTCCCACTTGACTGACCGCGAATCAAGTCTTGGACCTGGCGGCCTACTTACTCACTTTTCTTCTGTCTCTCTCTGGTCAATTAAATAATAATAAACAAAATTAAAAACAAAACAAAACAACTTGGGACAACTGCTCTCGTCATTTCTCTTTATAAAAACTAAATTAGGGGCCAGCAGGTGGCGCAGTGGCTAAAGGTACTAGATTCCCATATGGCTGACATCAGTTCGAGTCCCAGACCTGGTGGCTTGCTTTCTCACTTTCCCTTTCTCTCTGGTTAAATTAAAAAACAATAACAAATGGAATTAAACAAATAAATCTAAAAACAAAACAAAACAACCCACTAAATTAGAGGAAATGACAACTAGAGATGAGACAGGGAAATAAATATCCTGAAAGTGAAGGAAACATCAAGATATGGTTATTGGGGCCAACATGCAGACATGGTGGTTAAGGCACTGGACTCCCACATGGCTAACTGTGGTCCAAGTACCAGACCTGGGGTCCGGCAGGTGGCGTGGTAAAAGGACACTGGATTCCTACTCGAACCACCGTTCAAGTACTGGATCTGGTGGCTTGCTTTCTTACGCCCCCAGCGCTGTCCCTCTCTGGTCAAATTTAAAATAATAATAATAATAAAATATATAAAGTTAAATAAAATAATCTTCTTAAAAGATTATTAAAAAAAAGAAAAAGTACCAGACCTTGAGGTTTGGTTTCTCACCTTCTCTGTCTTGTTCTTCTTTCTATGATTAGCACAGATACCCCATAGCAAATTAAAAGAAAATGGTAATAAATAAAATTAAATAATTTTTAAAGTAGACATAGCTATTAAAAGGCCAGTAGGTGGAATGTAAAAAAAGCACAAGATTCCCACATGGTTGACTGCAGTTTGAGTCCTGGACCTGGCAGCTTGCAAACTGCAATAAATAAATAAATAATTCTTTTTTTATTAAAAGATTTTTGTGATAGGGCACCTGTGCTCGCCAAAAAGACAGATAGAAAAAACAAGAAATCAGTCCCCAGGGGGGATGGCAATGCCATAACCCCTTCCCCTCCGTTCTCCTCTCAGGATTTTGTGCATACACATACATACATGAGGGTTTTTTTGTTTTGTTTTTAGTATTTAAAAGAGTATTTTAAGGGACCAGCAGTTAGCGTGATGGCTATGTCGCTGGACTCCCATGTAATCGACCGCGGTTCAAATCCCAGACCTGGTGGCTTAAACTCACACCAGGCATGTGTGCATGCGTGCCCAAGATCTGGAGAGGAGAATGGAGAAGGGATTGTGCCATGGCTATTCCCCTTGGGGGGTGATTTCTCACTTTCTGTCTCTCTGTCTCTCCCTGTCTTTCCAACAAGTGCACACGCCCTATAGCAAAAACCTCTCCAAAAAAAAAGAGTATTTTAATTTTTATCCTCAGAAACTATAAAGACTATACATGATTTGGAAATGAGACTGTACCAAGCAGTGACCGAAGAATCATCATCCATTCTACACCTTCTATTTGGTCTGATCATTCAGAAATGCAGTGTTATCAGCTATGACTGTTGTTGCCTGTCACCTCTCATTATTTTTATCTGTGTATTCACCACAGTCTACTTCCCCTTCCACATAAATTCAAGACCCCTTTTTAGCATACTGATTTGCCACATCTCTGAGGCCTGAGAAGAATTCTGTTATTTTTTGCTGTGTTGTCTCTGTCTGCCATCACCCATTTGGTACACTACACTGTCCCTTGATCTCCCCATCTCATTTGTTGCCAAAGAAAACATTGTGAATGAATTTTTTTCTTCTACCTGTGTCATGACAGGGTCCTGACCCACTTGCCCAAGTAACTGCACACAATCTGGAGATCTTTCAAGAATCAGACTGCTAGCTATTGTAGATTCATGTCTTACAAACTAACAAAGTATCTGTAATACAAGTCTTCAAAACGTGGCTTCTATTTTCTTTTCTTACAATCTAATCTTTAGGCCTTTCCTGACCCTCTAGCCCCAACCCGTACAAGAGTTTTAAGCCACCAGGTCCAGGACTTGAACTGCAACTGACCATGTGGGAGACCAGTGAAATAACCATTATGCCATCTAGTCCTAGGGAAAAAAAAAATGATATGGGGGGCTGGTGGCACCATGGTTAAGGGTGCTGGACTCCACATGGCCGACTACGGTTTGAGTCCCAGACCTGGCGCTTACTTTCTCACTTTTTCTCTCTCCACTCCCCCTGTCAAATTACAGTAAATAAATAAATAAATAGTTTAAAATTAGAAAAAAAAATAAAAGATATGGTCATTAGACAAGAGGCTCTCATATTAGAGCACATGTTGGAATTGTCTCAAGTTAAAACAGATTTCTGAGCCCCACACTCAGGAGTTTTAAATAGGCAGGTAGAGAAGGTGTACTAAAACCCTGCCATTCCCATGTTTCTAGATGATGATAATGCTGGACCAGCGATTATATTTACCACTAGATAAATGTAATATAGGCTGCAAAATAGAAATGGTAAGTAAAATTTAAAAGCACATGGGGCCAACAAGTGGCATGGTAGTTAAGGTACTGGATTACCACATGGCTATCCACAGTTCCAGTCCTGGACCCAGCAGCTTGAAAATCATGCTGGGTAAATATGTATGTATACCCAAAATCCCAAGAGAAGAATACAGCAAAAGGGATTGCAGCATGGCCATTATCTCTTGGGGGTGATTTCTCACTTTCCATCTCTCTGGCAAGTGCATGTGCCCTTTGACAAAAACCTAAAAAGACCCCCTCCCCCCCCAAAAAAATTGAGATCATCAGTTTGGGCTGTCCCTGCAGCCTAGTGGTTATGGGAGCCAGATCCCACATGACTAGCTACAAGCTTCGAATCCTGGCTCTAGCAGCTTAAAGAACCCACCAAGCACATGTGCATACATGCCCCAAATCCCAACAGGATAGAGAAATGGAGAAGAGACAGAGGTGTGACCATGATTTTTCCCTTTCCTTATCTGATAAGCACTCACCCACTCTGATAATTATATATATATATAAAAGCTTATAAAACACTTTAATGTTTCTTTCTTTAAACCTCATATAGTATTGGGGCCAGCAGATGGCATGGTGGTTAAGGCGTTGGACTCACACATGGACGATTGTGATTATAGTCTGAATTCCAGACCTGGCAGTTTGCTCTCTCACTTTCTCTCTCTCTCTCTCTCTGCTGATTCTTTTTAAAAAAGAGAAAGAAAAAAAGAGAAAGAAAAAAGGAGAAAGAAAAACCTCACACAGTCCATAGTCTGCTATATTATCCTTATTTATTTTTTTTATTTTTTTTTATTTTTAGGTATTTGCCATAGGACATGTGTGCTTGCCAGAGACAGAGACACACAGAGAAAAAGTGAGAAATCATCCCCAAGGAGGATCCTCCTCTTGGGATTTTGGCCATGCATGCACATGTATCCAGAGTGAGTTTCAAACTGTCAGGTCTGGGACTCAAACTGCAGTCAGTGATATGGGAGTCCAGCATTAACCACTATGTTACCTGGTGGCCCCACACCATCCTTATTTATTTATTTTTATTAGATTTTTGCTTTGAGATGCGTGCGCTCACCAGAGAGAGACAGACACACATACGCAGAGACAGAAAGGAAGAAATCATCATCCCCTGAGGGGACGGCCACAATATAATCTCTTCACCTCCATTCTTCTCTTGAGATCTTGGACATGAGTGTACATGTGCCCGGTGTGAGTTTTAAGTCACAGATCTGGGGCTTGAACCGTGGTCGGCTACATGGGAGTCCAGTGACATAACCATTATGCCATTTGCTGATCCTACACTATCCTTATGTTAAAGAAAAGGAAACTAAGGCTCGGAGTTGAAGTACTTGGCTCAAAATCACAAAAGTTAAGGCAAAGGCTTATATCATATATCCACGATAAGGAAACATATGTAAAATACCCATGGGACACAGAGTTGAGGAAAAACACCCCCACAAATCCTCACAAGTGTTCCCAATACCTACATGCTTGGCCTGCTCTGCAATTTCAGCATGGCTCTTCTCCCACTTTGGGCCCTTGTTGGCCAGGTCAGCAGCCTGGGGTAAGCTGAGCCCCTCCAAGGGCACTGTGGCAACATCTGGCTGGCCTGGTGGTCCATCGAGAGAGGAATCTTGAGTTATATGCTGGGGGGAGATACCACCTGCCCCACTAGAGGCTGGGGAACTGGATGAGGCAGGGGACACAGGATTGCTGCCTGTCATGCCGTCCGACACCATCTAGAAAAGTGGAAAATAATGGAGAAAATAAATGCTTAGCACTATGCTAAGTGTTTTAAAAACATTATTTCATTTCATCTTCATATGAAAAAACTCTGGAATACAGTATCAATGTCATTATAATACAAACACTCGTGATAAAGTATTTATAAGGTACTCAAGACAGCAGATTCATTTATAATATGTCCTTGAAACACAAGAGTTATATTTTGACACATAGCTCCCAAATTCAAGATTATTACTGTAGCATATGATTTCAAATTCTAACAATCCCTTCAGAGCCTCAATGATTTCACTCACATAAATCTCTTTATTTTTCCCCATTGTCACAGCAATTATGGCAGATAAATACTTAACTATGCATATTCCTACACAATACATTTGACCTAACACAAAATTCAACAGAAAACAAAAAACACCAAGACACCAAGATATCTAAACCTCTTCACTAGGGGAAAGAAGAAATAGTCGCTGTTTTAATCTCTTCACTAATGGAGTTGAGTATAGTCACTATCGTCAAAGCAGTAAGTAGTAAGAAAAAAAGACCAGCAAAAGGCATAATGATTCCATTGCTGGACTCCCACATAGTCAACCAGGGTTCAAGTCCCGGACCTGATGGCTTCAAACTCATGCCAGGCACCTGTATGTGTGTGCCCAAGACGCCAAGAGAATGGAGAAAGGATGGTGCCGTGGCCATCCCCCCCGGGGGTGATTTCTTGCTTTCTGTCTCTGTAGCAAGTACATGTGCCCTACTGCAAAAATCTCTCTTAAAAAAAAAAAGTAGAAATAAAACCCTACTTAAATGCGGATACTCAGGGAACCCTCTAAATTAGCTTGAGTGCACAGCCTCATATTACACTACTAAACTTCTACATCAGCTAAAAGACAGAAATTAGTATGTAAAAAATTTTATCAGCTGCTCAGGAAAGCTACAAGTATAAAATCTATAAACATCAGAAGCCTACTGTACACAAACCTAGACCTGCCCAGTTTCTACACCATCCCTTTTTTCCTAACCCCCACATGTTCCTGGTATGAGAAAAGAATGAACCCTCCACATCATCTATAGTCTTATCCTATTCCAGTCTTGAAAGAAGTTGAACTACTCACAAAGCATACAATCTCAGAAGCATACTATCTCACTACCATTCCAACCTAGTCTAATTCAACCTTTTTCAGGTTACAAAGACCTTTTACACTTGGACTTTTTATATTAGTGTAATGGAAATCAACATAACACTTATGTCCAGCAGAACATTATAGTCACATTCTGTTGGACATTTCTCGCTTTCTGTCTCTCCAGCGAGTGCATATGCCCTATAACAAAAATCTCCCTTTAAAAAAAAAAAAAGAAAGAAATAGGGGCCAAACAGGTGGTATAGTTGCTAAGACACTAAACTCCAACCTGGCCAACTGGTTTGAGTCCCAGATCCAGTAGTTAAATCTCAGGCTAGGCATGTGTGCCCAAAATCCCAAAAGGAGAATGTAAGAGAAGGGACTGTGGTGTGGCTATCCTCTCTAGGGGATGATTTCTCACTCTCTCTGTTTCTGGCGAGCACACATACCCTATAGAAAAATAAAGAAAAGAGGGACCAGCATAATGGCTATGTTGGCATAATGGCTATGTTGCTGGACTCCCATGTAGTCGACCATGGTTCGAAAGCTGGACCCAGTGGCTTAAACACACGCTGGGCGCATGTGCGTACATGCCCAACATCCCAAGAGGAGAATGGAAGAGAAGGGACTACAGTGTGGCCATCCTCCCTGGGGAGTGATTTCTCACTTTCTGTCTCTGTCTCTCTGGCAAGCACACAGACCCTACAGCAAAAACCTCTCCAATAAATAAATAAATAAATAAAAATTTTAAGAACAAAGAAGATAGGGAGGGTGAGAGGGAGGGAGGCGGTTAAGGAAGGATGCCACATGCTTGACTTCATAGTTCAAGTCTTCAACCTGGTATCTTAAAAAATACACCAGGCATATGTGCATTCAGCTCAAATTCCCAAAAGAATAGACAAGGGGACCAGCAATAAGCGTAATGGCTATGTCACTGGACTCTCACGTGGTTGACCGTGGTTCGAGTCCTGGACCCGGTGGCTTAAAACTCACGTCGGACGCATGTGCGTGTGTAACCAAGGTCCCGAGAGGAGAGTGAAGGAGAAGGGACTGAGGTGCAGCCACCCCCCTGGGGGGGGGATTTCTCGCTTTCTATCTTTCTGTCTCTCTCTGTCTGGCTGGCTAGCACACGTGCCCTACAGAAAAAAAAAATAAAAAGAATGGACAAGGAGGGAATGCAGCATGATCATGACTCCTGGAGGGTGCTTCTTCATATCCCCTCTGTCTGCCTCTGGTGAGTACGTGCACCCTCTAGTGAATTAAGAAAAAAAAATTCAAATAAAAAATAAAAAAAGAACATCATGGACCAAGAGATGGCACAGAAGGTAAGGCAGTTGGATCCCACATGGCTGACTGTATGATTTGATGTGGTGGCTTTAAAAACATACTAGGGGGACCAGCAGTTAGTGTAATGGCTACATTGCTGAACTCCCATGTAGCTGACCACGGTTCGAGTCCCAGACCCGGTGGCTTAAACTCATGCCAGGCACGTGGACGTGCATACCCAAGCTCCAAGAGGAGAATGGAGAAGAAGGGATTGCAGCATGGCCATTCCCCCTTTTGGGTGATTTCTCATTTTCTGTCTCTCTGTCTCTCTCTCTCTCTCTCTCTGTCTTTCTGGTGAGTGCACGTGCCCTATAGCAAAAATCTCTCCAAAAAAAAAAAAAACACAGTAGGTGCATGCACATTATGTTCCCAAAAGATCAAGAGAATAGAGAAGGAATTGTGGCATTGCCATCTTCCTTGGGAGGGGTGATTTCTCACGGTAATTCTCTCTCTACCTCTCTCAACAGGTGAGCACACACGCCCTATGGCAAACTTAAAAAAAAAAAAAGAGTATGATCAAACAGCTTGAAATACTAAAGCCCCAACTACCTGAGTACCAAAATAATCTCTCTACTCAGATATCTAAGTAGATAAGACCTGCCACACTTCTTCTACCTCAGACCCAGCAGTCCACAAAGCAGAAGCAAAAAAGGAACTCTCTCCCAACTTTCAAACCTGTGTCTGTAGGACTGGGAGCTGAGGGTGAGCAGTGGAGGGGCTGCTCTGCATGGTCCCACTCCCAGGCTCCTTGTTGGATGCCTGAAGAATGACTGGGTTGTTATCACCACTGCTGCTGGCCGAGGGGCTGGCGTCCGGCTGCAGGGCATGCTGGGAGCTGGCCTCATTCTGGGCCACAGGCCACCGGGACCCGCCTTCCAGGGCCCGGGGCCCACCAGGGCGTCCCAGCCTCCGCTCAGGTCCACCAGCTTCTGGAGCACCTAAAGTAGGATTTAGAAAGGGTAGAAATGTGATTTGAGATTTAAAAAAAAAATGTTTTTTTTTTTAAGTAGAAATGTGATTTGAGATTTAAAAAAAAAAATGTTTTTTTTTTTTTATAAAAAGGAAGAAGCAGCAGCTCCATAGCCTAATAGTTAGTGAAGGCAGATACCATATGGCTAGCTGTAGTTCAAATCCCAGCCCGAGAGACTGAAAAACATACTAGGCATATATGTGTATATGCCCCAAATCCTGAAATGATGGAGAAATACAGCAGAAGGGGTTGCTGCATGACCACACCAAATTAGAAGGTGTCCTTTCCCACTACAGGAAGCACATGCAACCTCTGTTACTCAAAGAAAAAAAAAAGAAAACCATTAAAGAACAATGATAAACCAACTGATTACTAACTACATCTCTTAAGTACTTACTGTGTGTCAGACATCTAAGTATTTCCTTGATGTATCCTATAATTCTCATGGCTACCTTACCATAAACCATGTGCTTCTCACACCATAACAAATATGCACTTAGTTCCTCTATTAAGGATAGAGCCATGTGGAAAAGACACCTGACTTAAAATGAAACTTATATTCTAACATTACCTCGACTGTAAATTAAGAAAGCAAGAACCAAAAAGGTCAAATGACTTGCATAAGGCCACATAGTAAGAAAGTGGTAGACAGGGGCCAGCAGGTAGTGTGGTGGTTAAGGCACTGGACTCCCACGTGGCAGACCATGGTTCAAGTTCCAGACCTGAGGGCTTCCTTTATCACTTTCTCTCTCTCTCTCTCTCTCGCTGTGTCTCTCTCTGGTCAAATTAAAAATAATAATAAATAAAATTAATCTTTAAAACAAAAAGAAAGTGGTAGAAGGACTTAAATACATGTAATCAATGCCAACCATGGAAACTGCCACTGTCTCTGGTAGAGCCAGGATGACCAGATTTTCCTCTATACACACCCCAATTCTGTTGTACCACTATCATCAAATGAGGAGAGTAGAAGGGTGACATGCAATATTCCCAGTTTTTCAGAGCAAAAAACCCACAAATAATAACCTATAATTTTCTCATCTACTTCTCTCTTTGGCAATAGCATACACAATGGTAACAAGGCCTGGCCTCAGTGGCATAGGCTACAGCTTGCTAAACTGCAGTGTTAGAAGCCATACCACCAACTGCGGGTTCAGATTCTGAGTTGACCTGAAAAATATGCTGGGTATCCATGGGCACTGAGGAAAGGAAATGCGGTCTGAAAAGACCCTAGTGAAAGTACCCCCCTTGTGAATACATATACTCTCTCATGAACAAAACGAACTTAAAAAAAGTATCTGAAACCTCACCTGTGTGAGCTGAGACCACACCCCCTGTGAAGGTCTGTACTTCCACGGTGCCGCCGTACTGAGGAGAATCAAGCCTAAAACAGAGCAGGAGGAAAACAGCAGTGATGAATCAATCCATCAAAGCTTATTATTTACTCCAGTCTTTTAAAACTTTTAAATATATGCAAGTCAGTTTGAAGGCTGGAAAAGAAAAGACACTATAGTTGGAAAGGCTCTTACTTCATAAAAATCATGATTTCAGCAAACAATGTTTTGTGAGAACTGAATTCTGAAAGATTAAGATTCTGACTTGGGAGTAGTGAAAAGGAAAGTTTAAAAACCCTAAGTGGGGCCAGTCTCCTGGCCTAATGGTTTAGGGAATCTGATACCACATGGAAGAATGCAGTTCGAATCCTGGTCCTACTAGCTTGAAAACATCATGCCAGGCATATGTGCATGTACACCCAAAATCCCAACAGGATGAAGACATGGAGCAGAAGGGTTTGTAGTATAACCACACCCCATGAGGGGGATGCTTTCACCCTTTCTCTCTCTTACTCTGACCAGCACATGTGCTATAATAAAATTAAGATAAATATGTTAAAAACAAAACACCATAAGTATAAAAGTCTCCAAGCACACAATGGAGGGCAAATAAAGCAACAACAACAAAAAAAGCTGTCACATCCATAAGCTCAAAAAGATGCTGCCTGCCAGACAGCCCACTTGCCTTATCAGTCACTTAAAACAGTCAGAAATAAAAGTGGAGTGGGACCAGCAGATGGCATAATGGATACATCACTGCACTCCCATGTAGTCAACTGAGGTTCAAGCTCAGACCTGGTGGCTTAAAACTCACTCCAGGAGCTTGTGCATGCGTGCCCAAGATTCTGAGAGGAGAAAGGTTTGTGGTGTGGCCATCCCCCCGGGGAATGATTTCTTGTTTTCTGTCTGCCTGGTGAGTACACGCACCCTATAAGGAAAACCTCTCAAAAAAATAAATAAATAAGTGGAGTAAAAGTGGAATGCACAAGAAGAGTAAATATAAGTATGTTGCTCACAGGAGAATCCATCCAGGATTCAGGAAGGGCCCTGTGAATCCTACACCTGCACCAAAAAGCACTTCTTGAAACCCAAGAAATACTGCAAGATTTTAAGGTGCAGTGAAATTTGAGAAAAGCCACACACTGAACCATGCACTGGAAACAAACAGGGTGAATTCACACAAGGCCCGGAAGTGTTTCCCCAGTGTGTAAGGAAATTCCTTTACCACCTTGCCGCCTTTGATTTACTCCTTCCACAACAGCACCCTAGCTAACCAGAATCCAAGAAGGCTGAACTACTGACTCCAGCCTTCATGAGGGTCTTCCAACTCCTCAGAGATGACCCAGCGTGACCCCTGACCTCTGTCCAACTTGCCACTAGTCCTGATAGCCCCGCCCCCTCCTACACTCCCACCCCACCCAACGTGCGCGCCAGACTGGGGGAGGGGCCCGCGCGTGCGCGGCTAGAGGCGGAGTGAGCCGGCTGCGCGCACGGCCCGGGGGCTCCCGCCAGAACCCAAACCCACGCACAGAAGGGTCGCAGAGCTAAGAAGCCCCTCATCCAAGCCCGTCAGGGAGCCCTCTCACCCCATCACCAGGCCGCGAAAGTCTGAAAGAAGGGAGGGTTCATGCTGCCAGGTCCTGGTCCTCTGACTGGATATGGTGGGCGCGCGCCTCAACTACTCGTCCCACTCCCCCCTCCGTCTTCCCGCGCGCCCCCGAGGGGGGGGTGGGGTTGGGGGGCGG